TGTTTCACCAGCAGCTGTGACTGGCATCCTCAGAGGTATAACACAGAAAGATGGAGTACTCTCTGTGTCAAGGTGAGAAGAAAAATGGTAGGCAAGTAATTTATATCTACTCAGAAAGGTGGGATAGGGCTGAGTCATTATCTTGTAGGAGTCTCCCAGGCTGTGACATCCTAATGGAGGAGCTTTCCTGAGGAGGTTCTTTTGCATATGGATTGGCTGTTGAAATTGGCTGTTGCACCTCTTCCTAAAAAGCCAGATAAAGACTAAGGAAACCCCACTCCACATACACACCATTGAGAAAATCGTCCTTAAATGAGGACTGCACCTGTTTGTAACTGTACCACTCACGGTAGAAATTTAAGGATATTCTGGCACCTCAAGGTTGAAATTTACGGCCGACTAGCAGAAAATATGATCTTCACAGAGGGTTTTCCCATGTGGATCAGGAAGAAAGACTATTAACAAACCAGCAGAAAGGGAAAGCTGAGAATTACTTGGCCTGTACTGTACATCTGCCTGTACTGACCAATAGTGGGGAGATCAGTGTGCCAGCCTCCTTTCACTTTATCTTTCCTGGATTCTATACTTGGAAGGAATCTTAAGGAGCCATGATGGTTCACCAGCCTCTAGCTGAGGAAGATCTCCAACTGATATTTCTGTGCCTTAATTGTATTTAAGCCAACGAACAAAACACCACTGTGAGAAAACTGACAATGACACATTTAATAATTCTGTGACCATCTTACGATATAGTTAGAAAATTCTGACATAAGCAAAGTCCAACATAATCATATCCTCGATGAGCACACCGGTTTTTGCACTCATTTCAGCAATCTTCCTGATGATTATGATATTATATAACTAGTGTGTCAATATCCCCAATAAAAGCCAAGTCAAAAAAGCCAGAGAAGGGGTCACAGTGTGTCATTGTCAATTTTATCACAGTGGTTTTTTGTTTGTTGGCATATATCTGCACACTGTGACCCCTTCTCTGGCTTTTTTGACTTGACTTCTATTGGGGATATTGACACACTAGTTATATAATATCATAATGTTGTTGTTCTGTAAAAGCAAATTGGATTTAAAAAGCATATGTATAAATCTAAAGTGTATGTATCATATAGGAGTTTACTTTTCAGTGTTAATGTTCTACACCTTTAAGACAGAAGTATAACAACATGCAGCTGCTTGGAATCCATCAGATAGTTCCTTAAGAACTGCTTTCCAGTGTGAAAAGTGGGGAGCATTGTCAGTCTATTACTAAAAGAAGGCTTTCAGCCAGATAAAGGGAGTAGCTGAAATGCTACTCCCTAATAGAGAGCTACCAGCCAACAATGTGAAACGGAGAGCAAATGCCAGCCAATTTAAAGTAGGCCTGTTGCCACATAAAAATTTTGGACTGGCTGCTACGACTAGAAATTTAGTAATTGGCTAGCTCCTATTCAAGTACTTGCAATGGAACTGAAAGTAAGTTTAAAATTATTCTAGTTAAAAATGATAACAAAACTATTCCATTCAGCTTCATGTCTTTTTCCACTCTTCATAACTACGCTTTTTACAGGATAATTTAACTAAGAAGAAAATAAGAAGCTATACTGTTTTAAAAAAGAAACGTAGGCCCCGGTCACACGGGAGGTTTTGCCCTGCAAGAGGGATGGATTGGGAGCGCATCAAATGGGCGCAATCACACCGCAACATCTGGGAAGTGGAGCGCACCCGTCCCCAATCCGTCTTTTCCGGGCAAAACCGTGCATCAAAAAAACCCTAGAAAAGAGTACTACCTACCTGAAACTCCGCAGCAAGGGCGGCCGTGGGATCGCTGGCGCGCTCGTCTCCCGCAGCATTTGAGGCTCCCGGCCAAACTGCGCATGCGCGCACATGCACGGCTGGCTGCCTCGCTCTCCATTCCGTGGCTTCCCCCCCGGTATCTGATCGTGCCAGGGAGCAACTGTGCGGCGGCTCGGGGGATCTGTCTGATCCCGCCACCGCACGTCTATTTTGATGCGGCTCAGAAAAGCCGCGCTTTGGCCGTGCCTTTCCCACCCGTGTGACCAGGGCCTAAGCTGAATCTAGAGGTTGACACCTTCCAACTTTATAAGACTACTCATGAGGAAGATTGCTGAAATGAGTGCAAAAACCGGTGTGCTCATCGAGGATATGATTATGCTGGACTTAGCTTATGTCAGAATTTTCTAACTATATTGTAAGATTAATAGCTTCACAAATTGATGCTCACAGAATTATTAAATGTGTCATTGTCAATTTTATCACAGTGGTTTTTTGTTTGTTGGCACACTGTGACACCTTCTCTGGCTTTTTTGACTTAACTGTATTTAAGGCAGCTGAACCCTTATCACAGGAAGCTGGGAACACTTTTTGTACAGTAATTGGGCCCCATACTTTACAGAGCTTTGTACATTATACTCAATACCTAGATTCACACCAAAACCAAACAGAAGTTACCACACAACGTGGAGCACCAGCATAACAAGTGCCCTGTAGTATTTTTAGCTGAAGCTAAAAACAAGTTAAGGCTAGCTACAATTTCAAGGTTATAGAGACATAAGAAAGTGTTACATGTCAGAGGAATGCTTGAATCAGTGCCATAATGGGTGCTCTCTCTACTATATCTGACCCAAGAATATCAGATATAACTTTGTGCCTTAAGTGCCATCAAGTTGCTTCTGACTTCCCACAACGCTATGAATTAATGACGTCAAATGCCCTGTCATTAACAGGCTTGCTCAGATCTTGCAAACTGAAGGCCATGGCTTCCTTTGAGTCAATCTATCTCATGCCGAGTCTTCCTCTTTTCCTACTACCTTCTACTTTACCTAGTATTATTGTCTGTTCCAGTGAGTCTGATCTTGTATGATAGTCCCCGTTCAGCCATCTTAGCTTCTATAGCAAATGCAGACTTGATTTGATCTACAACCCACTTGTCTTGTTGGTGGCACATGGAATCCATTAAACTCTCCTTCAACACATTTCAAATCAGTGTTCTTTTCAGCTTTCTTCAACTTTCACACCCATAGAGAGTAGTGAGGAATACCACAGTATGAATTGCAGATGTAGGACAGTTCTGATAGACAGTTCACACACAGGGCTGGCATATCAGTTAACTGACAAAGATCAAATATTCCATGAAACCAAAAATGCCACTGTGTAGGCAGCAAAGATTTTTTAGCAAAGATAGGAGTGAGATCTGCTTGTCCCCAACTCTTCAACAGTCAGAGGCAAACATACCAAAATAGCAAGATTTTTTTTCTCCTGGCTACTTGTTTCAGCTGTATACAGATTCATATAAAAACTAGCCTGCTACAGAGCATAACTGCCTTGAAACATGGACAAAAATAGTCTTACTTTTTTTTAAGTGAATTTAAAATAAAAGTAACAGTGGGTTGTTCATGGTATTCTGGGATAAAAGCCAGGATTGTTCATATTTATAAAAACTTCACCAAACTCTTAAAACATGTAATTCATCAATTTTTAAAAGTTAATTTTTATAGGTTCATTTTTGTAATTAGCATAAGCATGAACAATTTTGAGGATTAAAAGCCTTCCCCACTCAGCCATGAAGTGAACTATGTTACCTTCACTTTCCATACCGCCCATACCAGGTTATTGTCAGGGCAAAACTGAGGAAAGGGAGAACCACGTCAGAAGCTGCTGTCTTATACTGAATTTGACCATTGGTCTGTCCAGGTCAGTACTGTCTACTCAGACTGGCAGTGGCTCTCTAGGGTCTTGGGTCAAGGTCTTTCACTTTACCTCCTTCTTGACCTTTTTAAACTGGAGATGCCAGGGACTGAATGTGGGGCTTTCTGCATGCAAAGCAGAGGATCTTTCACTGAGCCACAGACCCTCCCATACATGGTGGGGTATAAAATGCAATCAAGTATCCTTTCCATTGTTTAACATGAGTAGTTTAAAAATACTTAACCACTCAATAGATCAAATATTTTTGGCGCAATCAAATGGCCAATCCTGCAGTAGTAATAAACAAGAGGAAGATTAAAAATAAATGAACATATTGGAGGAAATGACAGATAGGCAGAAAGGAGGCATGACAGGGTTAGAATACTTAAGTTGGTGACATAAAATGCTGCATTCTTCACAGAACATGCTAGACAGCAACGAGTTTTTGTGCAGTTTAAAGGCTGCCGTACAAAATAACCCTCTCTCCCAACGCTGCTCCCTGAAGACAGAGAACACCCAGGAACAGCAGGACGGGGGTATCAGTGGCCTGCAGAGGAATGGGGGAGCAACCCTCCCTCATTCCATATGCAGAAATCCTCTCCTGCATTCAACCCAAAGTTTCCCATTCAGGCACTTACCAGCCCCTCATCTGCTTAATTTCAGCAGGGTTGCTATACCATGGGCCTTCAAACAATTATTTTAAGTAGTAAAATCTTGTGATATTTAAGCCAGGGCTCCTTCTATAGTGGCACAGGTTCGTTTAATTCTGTGCCATTAACACACATTTTAATTTGGAAATCTTCCTGTGCGGGGGTGCTTTTTATCTCTGTATTGCTACTGGCTTGAATCCCATGTAGATTTTTGCAGCACAAAGGTAGGGGTGATTTTTGCCAACGCCCCCTCCAGCAGGACAGCTGATTCCCCCCCAGCTATTTTGTGGAGCAATATGCACTGCTGTGGGAAGGATTAATTGAACAATATTCTGTTCATGACTGCCACCTAGCCATCTTGGAGTAGCTCTAGATAAGACTGCCAAAAAGAGCGTATATCTGAAAAGAGTGAATTACATCAGGGTTGTTTGATAGCATATTAAGCTGCACAGATTTGTTATGGCAACACCATACACAATGATAGAGATGTTTCCAAGTTCTTTCTTTAAGAAAGAAAAACCTACCCCGGTACTCTTTTACCCTTGCCCAAGGTTAACTTCTTGCCACAGTGAGCACCGTTGAGTAGCCATTCACCCATGGTTCTCTATCTACTTAGAAAGATGGCTACCACTCAATTAATAATTTCTTCCAGAAGTTTTATTAATTGAACATCAGTTCCACAATGTAAAATGATTAAAAAGACCTGTATGCAGCACAAATCTCTGAAATTTCAGAGAGCAAAATAGGCCAAGTACCAGGGCATGCAGTCACTGAAAGTAAAGAAACAGATGGGAGGGAGGCCAGAAAAAGAACTTTCCCATCTCAAAGATGTAAACATTGCCCTAATGGAGATCCTAATAAAAGTGAGGAGTTTTGAGAGGAACTTGCTAAGTGTAGACTACACATTAACCTAATTGCCTGAGGACCAAACCTGACCTTATGAGAGAAAGGTATGTTCAATACTCCTGTAGGCAAGAGCACCTGTGGACTTTGTAAACTCTGACACTGCTTGCAGGAGATAACATTCCTGCCAATTCTGGCCATGGAAAGGATACTGTTGGGGATAGTAATACAAAGATGGGTAGCCGGGGCAAGCCCAAAATGAGAGCTTGCAAAAGCAGCAACAGGACCCCCCCACACACATAATAAGAAATAACCCCTTCCTCTGCTTCCAACTCATATAAGAGACTTTAGTCACCTCTGATGCTAAGTGCAACAGTAGAACAATGGCTGCAAAATTGGGTCAAAGAGATTCTAAGCTTCTGATGAGAGGCATCAAGACCAGGTCGCAATATCTAGCCATTATGTTGGCAGTAGGTCCCTGAGGCTCACCTCTATCAGAACTAAAAGAGCAAAGGAAGACTCAAGCTCTTGAAATAGAGGTGTCTACTGTGCTTGACTCTCAAGAAAAAAAGAGCAATGTGGCACTGCACATTACTCCTGGACTCCAGAAGATTTGGCAAAAATAGGGGAGACGACAGGATTTTTGCTTACTCAGTTGCTGCACTAGGTGGCTGTCGAGAACAGAGGGTGCAGGTCTCAAGCACAAAATCCTGTGGCAGAACTGCAAGCTTATAGCCAGGAAATCACGTTGCTGAGCGCCAATAAGACAAGGGCTCAGAAAATTTTGACTCAGAGAGACCATTTAGGAATTCAGTTGCCTCACTGGCAGTATTCACATACAGTCCATGGAATTCTCAGGTTGAAGACCCATCGAAGGCGCCAGTCCCTTGATGTAGGCACAGTTAGGGGACAAGAAGCCATCCTGTTCTGGATCCACATTTTCAATATTGTCCATTTGGTCTCTGGGACCATCCCAATTGATGTGGAAACGAGTGACACGAGGGTTGGATGCCAGGATATTCCTCTGCAGCTTGAAAGCAAGAACAGAGTAAAATATTAGTTTATTCTGGAACAGTTTTCTAAACTAATTGCTACATATGTTGCCCAGAGATTCCACATATGTACAATAAAAAGCAAACAAATTATCACCACCTTACAGCTATGACAAAGATGAAACTGATCCTAGTCCCTCTTACTATGCTGAATCTGAAAAATTTCACCTATTTGTTAGCCTGTTTAGATGCCATTATAGTCTATACCTGATCAGAGACATTGGTTCCACTCTTTCGGATGGTAATTTGGAACCCAGATGCCATATTCAAAAGCGTAGCTACCTCTGAAGGCTGATATTATGATCCACTGGCCCTGATTTGCTTCAATCACTCAAAAACTAACTGTAACACTTTGTTCAGAGTGTGACTCCTCCCTGGAGGAATCCATCAAAGCTCTTAACGCAGAGCCAAGTATCTGCCTCTCATAACATGCAAATCTCCCTTTCTCCAACTGTCAGGTCCCCAGCTAAGTCACTCTGCGCATACACTATCAGGGGTCATTTAATAGAAAAAGAGGTGCAGGGGCTAATTAGCACAATTCATTAGCATAACTCATTTGCATATGCCACACCCCCTGACATCACCGGAAGTGTGTCAGAAGGCAAGACCCACCGCTCAGGCTCCACCCCAAAACTCTCCACACTTATAGAGCTGATAGGCTGCCAATACCATTGAGTGCTAACAGCGTCACGTTCAACAGCATGCCTCCTCCCCTGAGCCAGCCGCTGGCTGCAGTAGCAGCTGTCATCTCCTCCGGGCTGCCACTACCACCTTCTCGCTCAATCCTTACCTTCCCATCCCCATCATCCGCCATCACTGCCCAGCCAGTGCCTGCCTGAAAGGAACCGCCCCCCGCTGCCCCCAAGCGGGCGTGGGGGGGGGGGGGGAGGGAGAGGAGAGGCGGGGCGCATTCTGTCTCTCTCTCGCCCAGCCCCAATTCTGTCTCCAGCTTGCACACAGAAGAACGAATGAGAAACAAGCACACGCGGCTGTTCTACCTTAGAGGGAAATCATGGGGGAGGGGGACAAAGGAGGGCACACACACCTGCTTCTTCCACCCCCTCCATTCTCGGCAAGTTCTTTGCGCTCGCATGGTAGCCATCAAGGAATGCTATACGTGCTGCTCTGCGCTCCTGCTGGGAGCGGGGCTTGCCACTGCCTGTGCTTCTAACTGCTGGAGCTCTGCTCCTGCTCAAAATTACCCCTGTGTGACACTATTGGCAGTGAAATGTTTATTAGAGATATGCTTGCTGTAGGTTCAAGAACTTTTGTTAGGACTGAAGAAAACCATGAGAACTTACAGGTTATAGGTAAAAGCATAACATTCTACATTCACCCATGTCACACCTACCCCCTAGCATTTCTATGGCAACACAGACGGATATATGGTGCCCTATCTAACCTAGGCATGGCACAAAGATTCACCAAGGTCAATCCCATGAGAACCAACACTTGGGGCACAACTACTTCAGGAATAATTATGGCTTCTACTCCCATGCGCTCTCACCCCCCCCCCAGGAATTCAACGTGACAAGCGAAGGGGAAGAAAAACAGAACTTAAGGAAACGAAAGTTAAGCCTAAGCTTGACACCAACTGCTTGTAACACCTATTCTCACCTAAATTAATCAGCACATGATAATCATTTAATCCAAATGCAACTGTAAATAAAGCTTTCTTCTCTCTATTCAGCTGTAACCAACCGTATCATGGCTCCATTGTACTAAACTATTTAAATATTGCTTTAGCTCTTGGAGGGGAGGAAATCAAAGCTTCTTCCTGTTTATCACAGGAGTTGTACTCTCTGCCACTCCTCTGGTCAGGATACCCTGTCTAGTCAATGTGGATAATAAAATGATCCTGAAGTCACTGAGTGACTCCCTGACTCAGCTACCTGTGATCATGATCCCCAATAATTCTGTTCCACCCACTGAAGAAAATGTAGTAGGCAGTTCTCAAGGACAACAGTATTCTGACTAGAGGGAGGCAAGGATTCCAAAATCAAAGACTCTCTGAAAGGACAGAATGACTCCTGCTTGAGCCTCAGAATTAAGGAACCATTGCTTGGGGATTAAAAAAAATGGTAGGTTATCCCTCCCCAGTTAACTGATTTCCCTCCTCCTTAAATGGGGAGTGGCTCAGGTGTTACAGAAGGGTTCCTTAAACTTTTCGCAATAACAAACCTCTTTTAAACTTCTTAGATCTTTAATGCAGCAGTCAAAGTGACAGAATAGCAGACATAAATTCTCTAAATGTCAGCCTCCCCAGTCTTTAAGACTCATTGAGTATAAAACCCACTAACAACCACCTGCTCTGTTCCCCACCACCACCTCCTCATCACTCGTACTTTCCTCCTTAGTTCCTGTAATTCTCCAACATATGAGAAGAACAAAAGAATCAGAGGCTCATAATCTCACTTTCCATAATCCAAGGGGTTTGTGTATTCCACTTCTGAACTATGCAAAACTTCTTGCAATGCCCTTCTCCTTTCATCAATGCTTCTTTAGAGCATTTCCTTCTCCCTTTGCCACTATATAAGAGACAATGCGCATATAAACACACACACACATGAGTTGCTCTGTGTCTTTGGCAACAACTAAAGACATCAGTCACAGACTTGTAAGGGCCCCAGACTAAGGACATGGGTCTCCTTAAATTTAAAGAGATTAGATTGAGCCTGCTCCTACCATGTCAGCATCTTACCTGAGAAAAGTCTGGTTTGATGGGTGGATTCTCTCTTAGTTCTGGATCCATATACTCATTATTGACATAGTAGCCAATGCGGATGAATTCCTGGCCCAGGTAAGTGCAGGTGATGAGTATCACTGTAACTCCCACAGCATCACTCTCAGGGATTAGACCATGGTTGGGGGCATTGGCCTGCAGAGAGGTAGCAGTACAAACAAAAGGCATTAGAGACACTTGTATTATATCCTTCCAAAGAGTTCAGGGAAACTGCATAATATTTTTCCCATCAGTCCTCAAAGCAATTGAAGATATTCAGTGGTCTAAGGTCCCCTAGTAATCTTCAAAATGGAACATTTTTTAATTAAAACATTAAATGCTGACTTTCTTCTACAGGCAATTTGTAGTATAATGGAACACCCCCATACACTTTAGTAAACATAAAAATATTATAGCTTGCTCAAGGCAGTTAATAAATTTTAAAAAGATAGCATATACCAAAAATACAGCTCAAAACATGTTAAGAAGGTGTTATAAGGAGATGTGGTCCTTCAGATACATGGGTCCCAGATTACAAAGAGCTTTAAAATTAAGCACTATACTTTGAACTGAATTGGAACCCAGCAGACAGTTAATGAACATATAGTAAAATAGGCATTATATCTTGAAAGCAGTTGCTCCAGTCAAAATCCAAGCAGCTGCAATTTGCAGTAACTGATGCCTCCAGACTATCCTCCAAGGAAGCTCAGCATAGTGTATTATATTAGTTCAATCTAAAGATTACAGTGGCATGGTTCATTGTGGCTAGGCTGCTTGAGGACTAACAGCAAAACAATTTATTAATTAGATTAAGCTAAAAGAAGGCCCTTCTAGTGACTACACCAACCACTTTCTCCATCAGCAAAGCTGGATCCAGCAGCACCCCCAGCCACTTCGTATTTTCAAACAGTGCAAGGCACACTCCCCCAGCATAGCCAGGATCACCTAGCAGAATCATCCCAGTGAATAACTGAATACAGATCTTCACAGGAGTCCTCAGAAATCATGGATCACATATGAAACTGAGTCTCTCTCTCATCCACGAATGTACACATCCAGTACTAGGAATAAGGCCTGTTGTGGAAATAAATACAACAAGCTCCAGAAAGAGGCTCTGGTAGAGTGCCCCGGCTTTGGGCACACAGTGTCAATTTGCTGTGGCGACCTCAGCGAGGTATAATGACACACAGTCCACCATTTTCTCCAGAGGAACTGATCTCTGCTACCTGAAGAGGAGATGTAATTTTGAGTGATTGGTAATGATTGTTACCCAGGACGAAATGGCTGGTTTGGAGGGTGGAGTCTATGGCATTCTACCTGTCTGATGTCCAACCCCTCCTCAAACCCCACCCTCTCCAGGCTCCACCCTTCAAATCCCCAGGAATTTGCCAACCTGGAGTTGGCAACCCACTCTCCTTCCCAGCTAACCATCAGCCTACTGTTATCTGCCCCTCTGACTTCAGCTGACTTCTGCCCTCCCGCCTGTAGCTGTAATTCTGAGTGGTCTCCAGCCCTCACCTGGAGATTGGCAACAATGGTTCCCCATGAGGGAATGGCTGGTTTGGAGGGTGGAGTCTATGGCATTGTACCTGTCTGAGGTCCCACCCCTCCTCGAATCTCACCCTCTCCAGGCTCCACCCCTCAAATCTCCAGGAATTTCCCAACCTGGAGCTGGCAACCCTATCTCCCTCCCAGCCAACCATCAACCTACCATTATCTGCCCCCTAACTTCAGCTTTCCATCTCCTCCCCCCTCCCTCCTGGTGAGCAGTTGTAATTCTGATTTCCCACCTGGAGTTGGCAACCCTATCAGGACTAGCCCCAATGAGTTTTCTCCCAAAGGCCATAGGCACTGATGGAAAAGTAGGGTTTCCAGCTCTAAGGAGGGAAATACCTGGAGATTTGGGGGGTGGATCCTGTGGAGGGTAGCACTGGGCGGGGGGGGCGGAAGGACTCAGCAGGTATAATGTCATAGGGTCTACCCTCCAAAGCATCCATTTTCTCCAGGGGAACTGATCTCTGTCATCTGGAGATCAATCGTAACAGTGGGAGATCTCCAGGTCCCACCTGGAGATTGGCAAACCAGCCATAATGGAGCCAAGCAGGAGAGAGTTTTCAGTTTATTCTGACAGGAAAGTGGCCAAGCTGGCAGTGAGCAGGGGAGGGGATTACACTGAACCAAGCTTGGTTGCCTACCAACAGCCACTGAGGGAAGCAGCAGAAGTGTCTTCGTCAAGGGAGAGAGAGTCATCTGCCAATTATTCTGAGAGGCAGTGGGAGTGGGCAGGGAACAGGAGCAAACCCAACACCCGGCCAATGGCACGCGAGTACTCTTGAGTGGCGGCTGACGGCCCAATGGCTGATGGAACCACACTGCACAGCCAATGGTAGAGCTGGAAATGTCCAATACGCTAAGAGAATTATTATATAGAGATTTACACAATTATGGAGCACACACACACACACTAAATGAATAAGACAGAGCTGTAGGAGTAAGCACACACTATGAACCAACAGAGCATAAATCAAGAGGGGTTAAACGCAATTGTCTTTGCTGCCCTGCCCCTTGGAACAGTCCCTCTTTTCCTGCACTTTTTGGCCTTGGGGCAGCTGGGAACTGTAGGCCCGCAGATGAGGAAGCCTCATTCAACCCAGTGAGTGATACCCCTGCAGGCCCCTCTCTGGAACAACAGCTCAATTAAACCTTATGGGGGAACATTTTAAACAAACAACCACACGGCAGCCATGTTACAACCACAGGTAACTGCCATTTTGTTACACCTATCAACAGCCACTGAGGGAAACGTTACTCCCACACAAGAGGCAAGCAAGAGAAGCGCCTTCGTCAAGAGAGAAAGCCGTTTGCAAGTAATTCTGACAGAACACAGTGGCTGAAGGAGGAGTGGGTGGGGAAGAGGAACAGACTCAGCACCCAGCCAATGGGAGAGCCGCAAAGGGCTACCCCAAAATGCAATTATTACATAGAGAGATATGGATCTTGAATTAGGAATTGGTTTTTGTTAAATAAATTGATAGATGAGATGCCAGCAAACCAGAGCTCATTATCATCAAGTTTGTTCGTGCCTCAGCCATATAAACTATCATAAACACAAAAGTAAGAAGCATCAGAGGATCCTTATGCAGTCAATCTGGACTATAAAAAAAATGTAAAACCAATTAGGCTGGAGAAAGGCTAAAGATTACAAAATTGCAGGCAATATCACAGTGGCAGCTCTGAAAGCCAAAGGATTAAGCCACTATTCTAGCAGTCTCCATCTCACCCAGCATTCTAATAAGAGTTTCTGCTCTGAAAGCAGTGATCAAAGGGAAGCTGTCATCATTGGTTATTGAGAAATGTAAATCCCACAGGATGAGGCCAGAGGTTTAATATTACTAACAAATTTGTTATTAGATCTACATTTTATGTTTGGGTAAACAGTGCCTCAGCTCTCTATTGCCGGCTGTCACATACCTAAGGTTTGGCTTGCAATGCTGAACTCTTCCCTGAGGTCTTATTCCTTTCCCCTTCCTGTCATAAGTTATGAATCTAGTATCCACAACCCAACAACACTCTGTTCTACTACTCTATTTCTCCCTGCATCTAATTCTTAACAGATCTCCATCTCAACAGTTATCCTGCCCTACGACATCCTTTTATACCAAACTCAGAACGGTTTTTCCCATTACTTCATATTCCTTTCGTACCTTCATTCACTTTGCCCTTGTTCATAATTTGTCCTTAACTGATTCTCCCATTTTCTTCATTTGGCTTCTAACTCTCAAAATCCCCATTATGATTGTCACATGTATTTAAAACATTTTATGCTGCCTTTCCACCCAATCAGGATCCACAAGGCAGCAAACGTAAAAACATTAAAACAATTAATACACAAAATATCAAATTCAATTAAAAACACATAACACTAGAAGGAGGGCCAATAACCGTTATTGGTGGTATGCCAGGTGAAACAAAAAAGTCTTCATCTGCTAGTGAAAGACACAGATAGAGGGGGACAGATGAATCTCCCTGAGCAGGGCCTTCCAAAGTTTTGGTGCCATGACAGATAAGACCGTTTCTCAAGTCCTGTCACCTGTCCTGCCTCAGATGGCATGGGCAGCCAAAGCAGGGCTTCAAAGGATGACAGAGTGAGCAGATATGTTCATATGGGAGAAGGTGGTCCTTAAAGTATGTTGGTCCCAGGCCATACAGGGCTTTAAAGTGTTGGAATATGCAAGGTCTATAGTGCAGTCTTATGAAGATCTGAAGATTACATCACAGGAGGACAGCTGAAGGACTGGTAGTTTGCACAGCTAGAATAGGGACTGCCCACAATTTCAAATTATGTGTTTGCTGTCTCCTGATTGGCTCTTCTGGAGACTTCCTGCTCCTGCAGAGCTTCCTTCTTCTTCTTGTTGTTCCTCTCACAGCAGTTAGGCTAGACAGTTAAGTCTCTCTCTCCTCTATGTTCTACAACAGTTCTTCTTTAAATAAACCTACTTATTTTTCTCTAAACAATCAGTGCTCCACTTCCCTTGCATATTTAAACTGCCAACATAAAGCTCAACACCAGCACCTTGAATTGAGCCTGGACACAAATAGGAAGCCAGTGTAGATGAAACAAGACTGGAGTGATATGGTCCCTAAGACCCTCTCCAGTCACCACTCTGGCTGCAGCATTCTGTACCAATTATAGCTTCTGGACAGCCTTCAAGGCAGTGTCACCCAGAGCGCAATGTAGTAATCTAATCTAGATGTTACCAGGGTATGCACCACAGGGGCAAGATATTTTTTGTCCTGGAAGAGCTGCAGCTGTTTCACTAGCTGAAGCTGGTTAAAGGCACCCCTGGCCACTGCTGCCACCTGTTTATCCAACAGGAAGTTCAGGTCCAGGAGCACCCCAGAGCTACGAACCTGCTCCTTTAAGAGGAGTGCAACCCCATTAAGAACAGGGGATAATCCATTTACTGGGTCAGGCCACCAGTAGCCCCTCTGATTTGTCAGGATTAAGCTTCAGGTTTTTAGCCCTTATCCATTCTAAAACTGCCTCCAGTTCCCCCAGCCTCCTTGGGATTTGCTGGTAGCACAAGAGAGAGCTGAGTGTCACCTGCATACTGGCAGCAGCTCAGCCCAGATCTCTCAATGACCTCTCCCAGAGG